TATAGAATAAAACTGTTGGGTGGATTTTTTGTTTAATACAAATTCACAGTTACTTGCATGTTTATCAGTTAATCAAGAAGGGTTATAAATTGAATAACCATAATATAAGATGGAAAGATTTTTAACTGATCATTGATGTTTAAAAAATTCTATTTTAGCTATTTAGTGTAATAGGTTTACCTTTAATAACAGCAGGATATTATTAATGCATTGCGATCAAATATTTATCATACAATGTGATTCTAAGCACTTTGCATATTATATGAGGTGAATAAAAGCAATATTTCACCATACACAAATATTTCATTAATTAATGATTGATCTGTTGGTATATTTGGGAGGTTGTTTTCTTTGTTGAATAATATATATTTTTAGTGTGATAAATATAGTGTGTTTGATGTAAAAATTAATATAAATGTGATATTAGTAGAAATCAACTTGCGAAGGCAACTTCCTGAATATAACAGCCTTGTATTCCTTCCTGCAATACATTTTTTAGTGTGCTTGGATTATGTTATTTGAAATAAAATAAAACTCATGCTACATAAAGTGTAGAAATCTTATTGAATATAATATGAAATAAAAGAATTATAAATAAATATTCAGCATTAAAATGTTTAAATTATATTTATGTAAAGTATATTTACCTCTTTGCATATAGGAAAGATTTTGATGGTGCACGTATGTGTCTCAACACTATAATTAACTTTGAGACAATTGATACTACCAGAAATTATTTTATAAATATGCTTTGAGAATTACATCATTTTCCTTTCCCCTAAACGATATTTGAGGAACATTCTCAAGTATTGTGAAAATTTCATAGAGGTAGCATAAGGTGATGAAGTATTAAATATAAGAAAATTTTAATTTTGTAAAATCTGTACATATATATATGTATTAATGGAGAAGCATAAGTAAATAATTCTGTTTTTTGTCACCTTGTGTTGCTTCAAAGTGTCTAAATTTTTTCTTCATGTTTTGGGATCATTCATTTCTAGATCCCACATAGGTCAATTGTGCTATCAACCCCACTTGCAAAAAATAAATAAACTTTTTACTTAATGGGGTTTCATTATGTTACCTTTATAATCTCATATCTGGAAAATTTTTCCCTAATTATTTACAATGAAAACATATGTTTATGCAATAAACCATTCTCAATTGATGCACTGGTGCATTATTATTTCTCCCATTTCGTACAAACAATATTGTAGTAGTGATTGTATTAAAGATTTGCTTAATAAATTATTGAATTTTTACTTCCTGATATTTTGATGTGATTCTTATTGGTATTATTGATAATGTTTAAATATGTGTATAAAAAAGACTTGCCTTTAAGGGTAAGTAAGGTGGTAGATATGTTCTTTGTAACCACACTTGAATGGACTTCACACGGATATTCCACTGTTTGCTTATAATGCCTCTAAAATACTTGTTTTCTCTGACAGCTTTTCCAAAGGTGCCTCATGAAAATCTTAAATATTGAGTTGTGGAAACTTTACCTTTCTTATGTCAAAGAAACTAAAGCCAGTCTTGCAACGTATAAGTAAGTATTTATTGTTTTCAGTTAGGATTTTAATAGAATAATTGCACTTAGGTTCATTATGTAATATATTCATAGGGAAAAAATGGCACAAGCATATGATTTTGCATTGGATAAAATTGGTATGGACATACATTCTTATAGTATATGGAATGATTATGTTACTTTTCTGAAAAGTGTTGAAGCTGTTGGTTCATATGCTGAGAATCAGAAGATTAGCGCAGTCCGGAAGGTAATCAATTGTGTGTTGCTGTTTAACCATACATTAATGCATTTTAGTTGTCTTAATCAATATGTTGATTTTATTAATTACAGGTGTATCAACGTGGTGTTGTCAATCCTATGATAAATATGGAACAACTATGGAAAGATTATATGGCATTTGAACAAAATATTAATCCAATAATTGCAGAAAAGATGGCTATTGAGCGTTCTAGGGATTACATGAATGCAAGAAGAGTTGCCAAAGAGTTAGAGGCAGTAACAAGAGGATTGAATAGAAGTGCTCCTAGTGTACCTCCAACTGGTCACCCAGAAGAAGTTAAACAGGTACTTTTCAAACTGCTTTGTAAATGATATGATGTAAATGTTTGATCAATTAAAGTAAAATAATACTGCTATATTAGGTTGAACTGTGGAAGAAATATATTGCATGGGAACGTAGTAATCCATTAAGAACAGAAGATACTTCCTTAGTTGCTCGCAGAGTAATGTTTGCTATAGAACAATGTTTATTGTGTTTGGGTCATCATCCTGCAGTGTGGCATCAAGCTGCACATTTTTTAGAACTTAGTTCAAAGATATTGACGGAAAAAGGAGATGTAAATGCTGCAAAAAATTTGAGCGATGAAGCTGCGACAATGTTCGAAAGAGCAACAAGTACATTGTTGTCAAAAAATATGTTATTGTATTTTGCACATGCAGATTTTGAAGAAGGAAGAGTAAAATACGAAAAAGTGCATCAAATATATCAAAAGTTCCTTGACATACCTGATATTGATCCTACATTAGTTAGTGTTTTTTTCTTTTTTTTTTGTTAACATAACATATTTCGTTTGTGGCTTGTAGCACTGTTAAATTGATTATTTCTTCATAGGCGTATGTACAATATATGAAATTTGCGAGACGCGCAGAAGGTATAAAATCTGCTAGAACGGTATTTAAAAGAGCTCGAGAAGATCCAAGGTGTAAGCATCACGTATATGTTGCTGCCGCGTTAATGGAATATTATTGTACCAAGGACAAAAATATTGCTTTTCGAATATTCGAACTAGGGTTAAAAAAATTCGGAGATAATCCTGACTATATACTTTGTTACATCGATTATTTATCGCACTTGAATGGTAAGATAAACTTGTTTTTTAAAAACAATTTTACATATCTTATTAATTAAATTTTAATATTGCAGAGGATAATAATACAAGAGTTTTGTTTGAAAGAGTTTTATCTTCTGGTAGTTTAGAACCTGAAAAATCAGTGTATGTAATAAATATGTTTGTTTGTTTATAACATTGTTAAAAATGCATTAATTATTCTTATGTATGATATTACATAATATTTATCTTGTACCTAACATTATTTTTAGCGATATATGGAATCGATTTTTGGAATTTGAATCCAATATCGGAGATCTGGCTAGTATTGTTAAAGTTGAGAAACGTCGTAGCGCTGTGTTAGAAAAGGTATTTTAACACTGATGAAGCTTTCAATTTCTATCTAATACGTTTTTGTAATTCATATAATTTTCTGAATATTGCTTTCTTCTAGATCAAAGAATTTGAAGGTAAGGAGACTGCACAATTAGTAGATAGATATAAGTTTTTGGATCTATACCCATGTACTCCTATGGAGTTACGGTCTATTGGATATATGGAAGTATCCAATGTTGGAAGAAATACAGCTGGTGCATTACCGCGAATACCGGATCCAGAGGAAGCTATAGCCTCATTACCAAGACCTGATTTATCACAAATGATTCCTTATAAACCGAAAGTAAATCCATTACCTGGAGAGCATCCGGTACCTGGTAAGTTTCTCTATTAACATATATATTCCATTATTTATAATAAATTATATAAATTTGTTGTCTTTTTATTTTAGGTGGTTCCTTTCCGTTACCGCCAGCTGCAGCCCAACTTTGTACTATGCTTCCGCCACCTGGATGTTTCAGAGGACCGTTTGTGGCTGTTGATTTGCTCATGGATGTTTTCAATCGCATTCAGTTACCAGACCATGGTAAGGTTGTGAATTGTGTTGAAATTATTTTTAACCTTAATAGAATAAACAGAACTAACAAACATAAATAACATCAAGTTCTGTAGCAAAATAATATTTTATTTACAGCTCCATTGCCGATAGCAGATAATGGATGCGACACAAAGTTGTTCGATCTAGCGAAGTCTGTGCACTGGATTGTCGATGAAAGTAACGATGGAGTTAGTATTGGATCCAAACGTCGAAGAACGCGCTTAGGAGGCGATGACAGCGAAGAAGAAGATTTACCACCGCCTCCTGCAAACGATATATACCGCCAAAGACAACAGAAACGAGTCAAATGAACAGAAAAGTACGAAATACCCACCAGAGTTATGTATCGTCTCCACGTATCTTGGAGAAATTTGATACGTGTTATCATATATTTTTACATTTTCTGTTTGTTCCAAAAGGAAGGAAATTTTCTAACGGAACAAACCTATTATTATTAAAAAGCGTACGTTACGTATACATGAACAACTACTAAATTCCTTATGTGACACTGTGCACGATATTTTGAGTACTGTGTACTCAGAAATCCTATATTTACACTGTTGATTTCGTCTTTGTTCAGATGTGTTCATTTACATAGAAAATGTCTAATATAACCAATATAGGGACAAAATTGGGAACGTCCAATGGATCGAACTTGATTGTATTGTTACCTACGTCGCTGTATACTATAAATTTAGCATAAATATAAGACCGAGATTTAATTTTTACACCAGTGTTCACGACAGTTTATATCACATGTAATAGAAATATTTCTCAGGCTCTACGAGATTGTTGCTGCGACTAATTAAGAACGAAAATGATTGGCATAACATTTACGTTTTTATTAAAATTAATTAATTTGTTATGGTTGTAAGTAAATTGTATTATAGGAAAGGTCTTATTTAGGATGATTATTTTACTTGGAACCTATATATATATGAAATCTGTATATGATAGAAAAAGGGCAATCTGTTCATTTCATTTATAGCAGTATCTACCTGATTATACAGTACCGAATCAAATGTATTTAAACGCTTTTTTAAAAACTTAAATTTACGAATGAATTTCATTTGTTCTCCTTTCTTTCCTAAAATTAGCTGAATGAAAAACATCTATAGAAAACTATTCATCTGAATACACTTGTCCAGCGTTGTACAATTACATCGATCTGTATAATTTTGATGTACAGGACCAATAAAAAGTCAGCATCTCATCGCAAATCTTTCATTCAGGATGAACTTATCTTTTCTCGACTGAGAACATCGACGCACGAAATATTCGTATGACAGCGAGGTATAGTCGAGTTATGTAGTTTATCGTCTCCTATACAAGTCGGAATTTTAGTTAGCAGGCATAACTGCTCAATGGGGGTGCAATTAAACTTTGATCACTATAACTAGTTCGAGTGGCTGTTAATGGTCCTCTTGGGCAACGCTAGATTGGTCTCTGAGCTGTGAAAGTAGCTGTCTGACGCTAGAATTATTTTGAAAACTTTAGTAAAGCTTGAAATCTGCATATGTCGTTGCAGCATTTAACTCCATTTTGGCTAAGACTCGTTTATATTAAAACACGATATAATTTAAGTAACTTTATGTAAAAAAATATTTTAAAAAAAGACATCAATCATTTTCAATGTGTGTGATTAATTAGGATACACTTCTGGTTAAGTAAGTAAGAAATATTCACCGATACAGCTTCAGGATTTATCGTTACGACGATACCAAGTGTGTGTGCAACGGAAGCTGCGGAAGTTGGAGGAATCTCTATTACACAAGCATAAATTCTTGTACGTTTAGTGCGTAATTGTGGGCATACTTGGACTCACATCTGTCTTAGGCGAAGATACCTAGGGTTTGTACACTTCTCAAACTAGCTAAACTAGGGGCATTCCTTCCAAATGTCCATGCTACGTTTTGTACAAAGATATCGACGTTACCGAGCATATTTTGCATACTAAGTATAGCACAGCGATTCTCAACCCCATTTCAGTTAAAACCGGTTATCTCATAAAGTGGTGAAACCTATATTATCCTTTACAAGAATGAACTTTCAATAAATTAAACAATACTGTAATAATATTGTTTTTTAATTTACTTGAAGAAATAAAAATCGAATAATTCATCTTAAAATGTGTGAAATATATATCAGTATCGTTTCAGTATACCACAGTAGATTGTTCCTCTTCGAAAGTCTCCCAATGTCGTGGTAATTCTACGTAGAACACAAGAACTATACTCGCCGAGATTCTCGCAGCCACCTGAACCCGTGGATCCAGGTGTTTTAGTACCGATTCAATAGTACGCCATCGTGCTACTTAAATGTCTAACGTTTCGCCATTTCGTATTCTACAGCGCTTTTACTACCTCCACAGAGATATCGATTCGCTGAAAAGATTGGTCTTATGATCTCTAATTGTCCCTCGGTCTCTCGTATTTGCTACAGTATTGTAGCGTAATAGCGCGATATATTTAACAAAGAATAATTAATGTACAACTTGTTGAATTTGAAAATATCACGTTCGCTTTAATTTCAGCAAAACAATTTTCCTTAACAATTCCAGAATATCACTTTCGTTTTAATAACAGCAAAATAATTCTCCGTTAACAGTTTCGTAATAAAACTGAATCAGAAAGGTAGAAGAGCTTTTTACATTTTAATTCTGCTTTATTTATATATATACACGAATACCAGAATTATTAGTTATTATAATTATTATTATACGAGCAACAGAGAAGAGTTATGAAATATCAGGGAAGTGCAACATTTGGTCTTCATTACCGCGTTTTTAAATCGACCGTGTCCAGTAAGTTTAATATTAATTCCTCGACAGATACGTTCTCGACACGTTGTATTTTAATTGAAATTGTTATTTGAATGTTATTTCCTGCATCACGTGTTGCTGGAACATGTATCCACTTTTATATGCTGCGCCCTATTATGCTAACGGCTTCTTAACGAGCCACATGCGTGGCACGAAGTACAATAGTTCGGCGCAGCTTGCCTCGTTTCTACATTGATTAACGCACTCGCCATCAAGTTCATGGTTGTAACTTGCAATTATGTAGCAGAAATTGGAACCACTAGAATACTGTGTTACACCCTCTAAACAGAAATATCCACCGCTTATTATTCAACTATTCAAATCTCTTAATCTCGAAGAAAAATATCGATACGCTTAAGAATTACAGAAAAATTAGCGTCAATCTCCATTAATATTTAACGCTTTGAGGACGATAGTCTCGTGTATGCGTTGAACGCAACCAATAAATTCATATTTTTAAGCAATAAAAATAGTTAGAGTGGTCATAAACTCGCGTACGTAATTTTCGTATAATTTAAAAAACTGAAGTAGTGACCTAATTATATGCTATACAGGTAATCAGTACTTCGACATGGCACATACTCTTCCCTCAGCTTCCCTCAGTTAACGTTCGGTTAATTTTTTTCAAATGAAACCATAAGTCAATACGACTGGAAATTACTTTCTTATTCTATTTAGTATGGTGTGCAAACAATTACCGAAATAATTTGCATCGCCATCGTTTATTCGACAACGAGCTTAGAGACAGAATAATTGAATAATCAGCTTAGACAAAAATCTGTGTTGGACAATTCGGTCGCATTTAAGTTACGTTTCATCGTAAAATCCTACTTTGCAGCATGTCGAATTAAATACGAAAGGAGAGGAAATTCTTGGGAGATTTATTACGAAACACCGGTAGCCAGGTAATAGAATTATGAAAGCAGAGAAATGAATTGCGAATGAATTACAGGGATAAAGGATAGTGACGGTAATCTTTGAGTTAGCGTTTAATTACGAAAGGTCTTTGTAAGCTTTGACTCAGCCAGTAAACCTGGAAATGTCGAGTGCAGTTTCTAGTTGCATATAGGGAAACGAAAGCTGGACACTTTGAAGAGGAAAGTAACGACACTCGTACTTGCACGAAAATTAACACACAAATAAGGCAATTTACATGCGGTGAAAGTACTTCTTGTTTCAATTTCCAGCCTCTAACTTTCAATTTCTAAACTGCAACTTTCAGCTGTTAATTTTCAACGTCTGTAATTACAGCATACAATTTCTCTTAATTTTCGGGGCAGCCAAGATTACAGTACGATCAACCTTAATTTCAAATTTAAATTTACGTACTTTTGATAGTTTCAGAAGTATCGACGGTCTTTCAAAACAATTTCGAATATTATCCGTGAAATAAAGGAAAAATTGAAATTTGTTACAGAAGGGTTTTTTTTAATTCGCGGCCGAGTTTAGCAGGAAAATTGAACGTTCGTTTAATCCAGGTGGCACGACGCATATATTTCTGAAACTCTCGTTGAACTACGAAGGGTTCCTCCATTGTGCTTAAGACGAGCATACGAAAATCCGTGTTCGGATCGGTTCCGGTTGCCCGCGGCGAACTATCGAAACATAGATCCTCGCAGACTTGGCGCGAGGTTAACGAAGATTTTACAAACTACCTTCACCATTAATTCCAACAGCGAGAAAATTTAGGGAGGCGTTCTCTGGTAACCGCCTGGGACGCAACTTGGAGAGCTCTTTGAAACTTTGCTTCTATCTCGGAGGAAGACAAATGACAAGAGTCGAAAGGAGCTCCTGAAACTGCTAGTTGGCCTTTCATAGAACACAAACGCATAATTCTCCCACTTGGGTGAGAGCGAACTATCGCGAGATAACGTGTAACGGTAATTTCTTCGGCAGATCGATGAAAAAGGAAGAAAGAGTCGAGTCACTTTTCGTTTGCTGGAAGAGAAACGAGTTGTATCTCTCGATCTACTTACCTCGATCCTCCCTCCTGTGAGCGTGATTCTTATTGGAGAGAAATTTCGTGAAAAAAATGTCGATGCTTATTTCTCGAAGCCTCGGTTTGGCGAATTATCGCAACAAACGTGTCACCAATATTTCCAAACGACCATCGGACTAGTCAGCGATCAAACAATGGTATCAGCCGCAAATATTTATCTTTACCGAATTTTTACAACAAATTCGTCCCCCAAAAAAACACGCTTTCAGTCGACCAATTGAAACACACACAAAAGCACAATGAATAAACAACGAATAAAGTTCAGTCTCTGTTAGTAATTACCTTTATTAAACGTCTCTCTGCCGGAGTCCTTCAAAGAAGGATGTTAAAAAAAGGTCAATTTTGGCATACGACCGGAACGAAAAATGTATGCATTTCTTAACTGTGTATCCACTATGAAAGCCAGACGAAAAAGCATGATCTTACATATCAGTCTAAACATATATGTATGTACTATATGTATACAGTGTTCTGTCGAACTACGCGTAGGTTTAGACGTCGACTGAACCAT